CCCCCCCACACACACACACGTATTATTAGACATGTGCAAAGACTAAAAATTTATTTCAGAATAAATGAACGAAAACTTAAAACATTTTTCATTCGTTTCATCACACAAAACACATTTTTATGCTATTTTGGATTCAGCCACTGGCGTGTTCTGGAGGCAGGGCGCACAAAGTCATATGACACCGCACGTGTTGGGCGCCGCCATCTTGGTGTATATCTAGGTATAAACCAAGATGCTGGCGCCTATATCGGTGTGTGACATCACCTGACTCCACGCATGCACGGCGTCATGTGACATCATGCTCCCCGCCTCCAAGATGGTGGCACGCATTCGCAGAACGCGTCGATGGCCAACATGGCCACCGCACATTCTCAAACAAATTATTATGTGCCCGAATACATTTTTAGTATATTCGGGCAAATAGTAATTCATTAATTTACATGTAGTCTAGGTTTTGTGTTCTGTTTTTTATTTTTACTTTTCTAGATACACTTACTTGAAAAAAGGTTCAGCATGAAATCCTGACACTTTATTTTTATAGACTCTATTTTAGTTTGACATTTATTGTTTGCTTGTTTGCCTGCTGTTGTTTTATTTAATAAGAATACTTATATTGTGCCTACAAGTTTATTACCTTTGAATAATAGTTTTATTTTTATCATACTTTTTAATAAGTTTCTTTGGGGCTTAACAAAATGGGAGGCTTTAAATGGTATGGATATTGGGGGGAAATGGGTGTGGTTACTGAGGGGTGTGGTCACTGAGGGGTGTGGTCACTGAGGGGTGTAGTCACTGAGGGGCACTGTAAAGCTTTCTCGCACAGGGCACCTGTCAGCACCAATTCAGAGATGATTTGAGGATCTACAGCCAAGTGATACACAAATAAGTTATGTTTTTGTTAATAGTTAAGGTACTTAAATGCATTTTTAAGATTTAACATCAGTTAGTGTCAGTTAGAGTTTAGTGTCATTTTCATTACTGGTGAATTTTGAACTAACATTCCTAATTATTTCCCATATAGCACTAACATCTAAAGCTGGCCACACACAGCTCGAATTTTGCCCATGCCAACACCACCTGGCTTGACAAACTTCAACTGAAAAATCGATGGAGCTGGGTAGAATATAATAGCCCCAAAACTGTGGAAACGAGGTGCTGGAAAAAAACTTTAGCTGAGTCAGTCAGATTATAACAGGGCACAGTGGCTCTACTAAGGCTGCTCTCCACACAAATGGACACCCCTTGACACAGGGAGCCCTGTGTTGAAAATCCACATTAAAATTCCTTTAACTCCTTCATGACTCAGCTTGTTTTTAGTTTCTGTTCGTTAATGACTCACACACTTTTTAAATTTTTTAGGTGATTCTTCCACGGCCGTAATATACTTTCTTAATAAATGCACCCACACATAATATATATTGTTTTTGTAGAGGACAGATAGAACTATATATTTATACAACATACTGTATGTGTGCCTAACAAATAAAATATTAAAAAAATGAGGAAAAAAGAAAATACCTTTTCACCAGTTTTAATTATTATTTTTTAGAAAAATAACACAGCTAAAAAAAAAAAATTATTCTTCCTTTATTTGGAAACACCTCACATCCCTAGGACTTTAGAGAAAACTAAAAGCTAACATTTTTTTTTTTCTCTAAAAGCTAATAGTGGTCACCTGGCATACAATGTCACTGTCACTAAGGGGTCTATTCACGAAGCAGCCGAAGGATCTAGCCGTAGCTTCGTCCGATCCTTCGGTTAGCTTCGGCCCCAGGACCCCTTCGGTTCAGTAGAACCGAAGGGCTGCTGTACGGGCTATTCACAATAGCCCGTACAGCTCCCGAACTTAGCCGAGTGGCTCAGTCGAGCCGAAGGCATATGCCTCGGCTCGGCGGAGCCGTGCTGAAATTACTATTGGCTATTGCAAATTGAAATAGCCAATAGGAATATAGCAATGCATTCCTATGGGCAAAAATTATAATTCGTTTTTTCTATTCTGACACGGCTCCGTGTCAGAATAAAGAAAAAAAAAGACAAAGCAGTGTTTCTCTCCTGGGCGGCCGGGAGCGGGAGACTCCCAGAGTGCTCGGGAGAGGTTT